GGTTAAGCTTATTGAAATAAGCGAGACAGAAAATATTTTTTCTAGTACCTACGAGTACGTTTTTGATCAAGGATATAAAACATATAGTTGTTCCAACATATTATGTTTACAAATAATTTAATTATGTATGATTGTAATTTTGTCATTTTTAATTAGGTCTTTGACCAATAAATCATTTATTATACCTATACAAGCGATTTTAATTTTTATATTTATGCAATGTATGTATTTGTGATCTTTATTACACATATCACACATATTTGTAGTTTTTGTATCTCAAAAGAATAATAAGTTAACGGATCGAACTAAGAAATCGAACAAGTGAGAACAAATACTCTCACTAGTTCGACGATCGAACTAATGAATCGAACTAGTGAGAATAAACGCTCCATCGTCGACCTCACCGTCCTGTTTATGAACCGTTTTTGACTTACGGGTTTCAATACGTTGTTTTGTTTGTTAGACATTAAAGTGAAACTTATTTTAAATCGCCATTTCTTATGTTCTTGGAACATAAGTTAAATAATTGTGCTATAACATTAAATCTCTTTAGTACTAAGTATGGACGCGCAAAGCCAGCTTTATAATTATGTAAGTTTTCAATTTTGTTTACTTTTAAGTTATAATTATGATTATTGAATGTTAGGATGTTTCACCCATTGACTTACAAATAAATGGACGACGGGTCTAATACGAAAACCACGAAAAAAAGTCCCAAGTCAACCTATTTAAACGTAGTGACGTATAAAGGAATATGAAAAAGCTAAAACGTTGAATTTAAATTGTAATGTCATCGCAGTACTGTCCAATTTTGCTTGCTTCGCTGTCAGTCGAACAAAAGAAGACTAAAGCGTGAATGACGCTCTGTATACGATTTTAACGCCCTATAAGTTCGGACACTTTTTAGCGCGGACCCGACGCCGACGTCCATATAATTGTAAGTCAATGGTTTCACCACTATTTTTTGTAAAATCCACTAGTTTGTTATTATTATTAATACAAATATCGAACACATAGAAAAAATTCCTTCGATCCGGCTGGATTCGAACCAGTGTCTTCTAGCAAACCGTGCCAGACGCTATGCCAACTAAACCTGGGTACAAACCAGCGGACTTTATGAATTTTTCTATGCGCTTATTGCTTTTGTTTTTAATTTTTTAACGACTTTTTGTCGTAGCGCCATCTATGAGAAATCTATTTCTTCACGCAGCCAGGTACCTTTACAGCTACCAGCAGCTGACTAGAGACGTCGCTTTAAAGATTGTAATTTGTTCTATAAATGCGTAATTAATTATTCATACATTGTAGAAGCAGTAAAACTCCTTGTGAAAGAGTTCGTCCAGGGAAATACTGATACTATATCTGCCGCCAAGGAGTGATACGAGCATTACTGCGTTCCAGTTTTAAAAGATCAAGGGTGCTGGTGAAACTTACTCCCATTCTCCGTCCAACATCCGTCCAAATCGAACACTGTGAAATAGGTAATATTCGACCAAATCAGTAGACTTAGTTTGGTCGAGTATTACTTATTTGATAGATTGTTTTGAACGGAGAACCATAGTAGACGGCCAGTGGCAGCTCCGAGTGGCTTTGCAACTGTTATGGATAGACATATCGCTCACCACCAGGCGCACGACTTGTTCGTCCCGTCACTTGTAATCATAAAAAAATGTCTACAAAGATTCATGATATTTTGGAAACCGTGTGAAATTCCCCGTATTGAGTCGGCGTGGCGGATTGTATCTTAGCTTCTCGTAGAGGAGATCAGTGTTGAGTAGTGGCATGTATAATATGTGAATGATTATCATATCAGTAAAAGAAATAAGTTCTTCAAAATATAGCAAAATGGCAACGTTCCATATCTAAATTCTCAAACTACATATATAATTCAAATTAAAATATCTTTATTTCTGAATATTCATCCACAGGGGTTTGTAGCAAAGCACTTAAAAATAGAGTCAGTACTACAAACATCGAGTATATAACCAGAAATAGAGACGAAATGTAATTTAATTTATTTAAAAACTATTCTGCTATATCATTACTGTGACAACAGCGCTCCGATTGTCCAGCCCAAATTCGAAACTATTGACGGGTGTCGTCAATTGTTTCACTTCAAATCTACCAGTATAACGTGAACTTTGCTATAATGGACGAAAATTGCAAAATTACTTATTTAATGTTTAATTACCGATGAAATGGGACTCCGTTTGTTTTGTAATTAGATGTTTTGCTGTTTTTCTCACACCACCGAATGTGAACGAAATGCAGAATATTTTTGGAATATACGGAGACGTACACACAGGTCAGTTGTTGGCGCTGTACTATTTCAGCTTTCTAATTCGTGATTTCAGCGCAAACGAGAGTTGATATTTAAAAGTGATATCAGCACCATTTGACTAATGATGTGCCATGGATGGATGGCTCTTATTTCGATGACTACAAATAACATTTTTTTCTAAAACTATTATGCAACCCGGACTAGTGCTTATGAAAAAAACCCTGGACACGCAAGAGACTGTTGCTACGAAATCTATGGACCAGGAGCAATTAGTATTTAGATAAATTTTCAAAATATTTATCCATTCCAAAACTAAATTAATTACAAATCTCAATTCACAACGTAGGCTTCTTCCGGTAGACACAAATATAAATCAGCAACGGGCTTCGTCACATAACAATCAATAATTCAATTCCGCCATTGCCATTTTTATCTAATTATAACAATGAAAAAGGACCGCTTCGAATCTTAGATGGTTCAATTGTCCCCATAACACTGGCAAAGTCAAAATTAAAGAATCATTTATTCTTAGAGGATGGAAAAAAATAGTCTAAGCAATTATTCCATAAGTAAAATAAATTGACACTTGAAAACGACACATTTAAGCTACTGCTCGTTCACTACGCTGACTTCCTCGAGAAAAACGAGCAAGAAACTCTAGGGATTGCTCTTTTCAAATAAACTTAAATGCTATGGAATTCACTTTGAATCAAATTTGTGTGGAATCTAGAGCCATGTCGTCTTTCCATACATTTTTATCTAACACGTAGTCTTCAATTTGTAATATGACTTTTTAATCAAAATATTTTTAATGTACTAGTTTTTGGACTTAGGAAATGATCCCAGTTCCCCATGAAAGAGCCGTTTCCTTTGTTTAAACGAAATCGTGGTACCATGAGTTTGGACTTAGCTCTAAGGTTAATATTATGGATATCTTCTTTCTTAACGAAATTTTGAATGTTTTTACGGGCATATAAAATATTTGAGTATCGATGTAGGATTTTAGTACACATCCGTCAGATTCCTCTTTCGTCAGATCATTTCTTTATTCCGTATAGGTCAGAAATTTGTTGCTGGAAACGAAACAGTTACTGTGATGTCACAGTCATAATACCAGTCTCCTTAAACTTTTCTCTGAGAGAAACCCGAGAACCTAAACGGCAGCAATTAATATCTGTATAATAATTATACACGGTTTTCTCTGAAAGTGACCTTCTTTTGGTTTGGGTTATTGCCTAAGTACATCCTAATTTTAACAATTTAATATTTCTTTATTTAAATAAGCGAAACCAGCATAACATACCAAACTGTAATATTTCATTTTGAAGTCCTTCTTTTATTATTACAGCTGGTGTGGTCAACCATATGCGAGGAGGTAAACGCAAGGTGCGGTGGAGATAAACCCCGCACGCCGACACAGGTCAAGATGTGGTACGAGAACTATAAGAAGAAATGCAAGATGCGCGCGCATGATAATCAGGTAAGGTCATCATTAACAATTAAAACTGGCATCATCAATTAAGGTTGCCAAGGCCATTGTCATCAACAATTTACATATAGGTGAACGTACGAGAACTATAAGAACTGCATGATGTGCCCGTGTTATCATTAAGTAAGTCACAATTGCCATCAACGAAAATTAACGGCATCAAGATTTATCGTCAATATCATCAATAATATGACGTGAAGAAATGAACTCGAGGTGCAATGAGGCCCCGAAAGCGAGACGAGAAGTATAAGAAGTCCAAAATATGCGCAAATGATCATCATGTAAGGTCAGTATCACCGTCAACGAAAATTAACATCATCAACGAAGGCTATTGTGACGGTGTGACCTTACACCGTCATCCCACCTTTTTGTATCGCCTCTCTCCATTCGTATCGTATAGTTTTTTCTTCTTCTACTCATATTTAAATTTAAAATTGTTCCATTTTACCTCGCATTCTGATTTTGTTTCTTCCCATCGTCACTCTCTGCGCGACAGCTAACACTCCTATCTACTCGTCTAATTTTTGAACCGTTTACCATTTACTAAAATCTTATTTTTGATTCTTTACCAAGTTATAATACAAAACATATAATAGGTACCTAATATAATAGGTATAATAGGTTGTCGACCAAAAATGAAGCCATAAACCCGGATGTAATGGTGCCGCCATTGAAACCTTGGCTATTACACGAATATAAAGATTTGTACAGACGCTTTCTAGCATTCCAGCATCTCCACACTATCATCATCAATTGTGGTCTAGATGTTGTCCATAATCTACAAATAAAATCTACGAGAATAAACATGAGATTTAAAAAAAAATGTTGATTAATCGAGTTCCTAGGCTTTCGCGAATGCTCCACTTAAGAAATAAAACTATTTTTTTCTAAATTGCGTATATTTGTTTTTTTTTTTAAACAAATCAACAATTTGTTGCCTTTATAGGTTTTTTGATTACGGCTGACTGGGATAGATTGATGATTTATTTAACAAATATACACAGTTTAAATCCGAAAGAAGAATAGTTTCATTTCCAATGTCCATTAAGGACGGTAAACAAGTAAATTATTAACGAAGATCTATTAGAAGCCCGAAGCCAAAAGCTGAGAGGGCTTAATAGTTTTTTTACCGTTTGAGATATTTCATTACATTTACGAGGAAATAAATACAATATAAATATGGTTCACCACACAACAATAATGGATTTGGCAAGTGGCGAGATTTTTGTTTGTTTTTTTTTTGTAAATTCTTTCATAGATAATACAACTCGAAGTAAAATATCGAGAAAAGCTAACACGCATACAGCCTTGATGGATTGTAAAAAAAACAACAAAATGTTTATACAGAAAAAAATTAAAATTAATTATAAGAAATTTTTAATAATAAATATTTAAGTAGTATGTGGCTGAATTTCAATTAAATTTCTGTTTGCATGAACTTGAACCTGACCTTTGTAAGGAAGTATGTCGTGCTACAAATTAAAAAAAACTCCTTACCGACCAATGTTGTAATGGAAAGAAAAAGGGCCCGTGGGTTTTATTTGGGGCATTATAGTCAAGTTAGCCGCCATGCAATAATACTATTTACGAGCAAGTGTGATGAAAAATATAAAAATGACCTGTAGAAAACTTGTTGTGTGGTGAAATTACAGGCACTTGGCACTTGTCAACTTATGTCTCAGGGTAACGTATGTACAATCGTTACAAAAATTCTCTTTGATTCCGTTCCGCCGTAATATAAATAGAGCCTAATTTTGATTATAATTTTTATTGCTAAGGGCCTTACGGAAATGAACTGTCATTTTACTCCGTCTTCAAAAAAGACAGAATGTAATTTGTTATTATTATTGTTATAAAAATCGAAAAAACACAAAAAAAATTCCTTCGATCCAACTTGATTCGAACCAGCGTCTTGTGCCTTATCGTGACTACCGCTCTGGACCCCATTTCTGCTAATTTTCTTGAAATTCACCGGTCTTGTAATTCCATTTTTGGATTTTTTTTCCGTTTCTGCTTCCGCAACTTTTATCGGAAGTTCATAACAGTCGCAATGGATCTGACGCGTGCGTGTAGCCTACATTTATTTCTCTCGTGAGTTTGGGTATAATTTGTGGTTGTCTATGTATGTGTCCATGGCACCCGCGACTCAGGGTTTCCCTAGTGCGGTGCTATGTTGAGTGTGTCCGTTATTATTACTGTTTGACTCTATTTCATTGGAATCTTTATAGTATTTACACATCCTCTTCCGTTTCCGTTTCTGTTTTCTTTATGACACTTCCGTTACATCACTACAATTATTTTAATATTTGTTGTTCTGCTAAAACCTAGCTGCAGTGGCAGTTCAGAGACTCAATAGTGTCAGTGGAATGGCACTAATGTTATTAACAATTCATTCAATCACTAATGAGAGATGTTGCCTTATTAAACCTGGCATGGAAATTATTATGCTTAATATACTCGTATTAACTCGTTAAATCAGCAATTATTGAAGATTAAATGATATTAAATATATTACATACATATTTTTTAATAACATCAAGTGGCGTCACACGTCGTGGTCCATACGTGTAAATAAACAAATAGTTTTTATTATATGTACGTTAGTCTACAAGGTACGTGTTTATGGGTCTTTTGTAACCTGAAAACATTGACTTACAAATAAATGGACGACGGGTCTAATACAAAAACCACGGAAAAAATGTCCCAAGTCAACCTATTTAAACGTAGTGACATGTAAAGGAATATGAAAAAGCTAAAACGTTGAATTTAAATTGTAATGTCATCGCAATACTGTCTAATTTTGCTTGCTTCGCTGTCAGTCGAACAAACGAAGACTAAAGCGTGAATGACGCTCTGTATACGATTTTAACGCCCTATAAGTTCGGACACTTTTTAACGCGGACCCGACGTCCATATTATTGTAAGTCAATGCCTGAAAATAAATAAATAAATTACTGCTTTATTGACTAAGTTTAAGGTTTTTTTTATAACATCAAGACGACGAACAAGTCGTGCGCCTGATGGTAAGCTACACGCCTGTCTATAACAGTTACAGTGCCCCTCAGAGCTTTAAATGCAAATATCTGAGGGGCACTACCACTGGCCCGTCACCCTGAATTGACAAGTCACATGTGCCTGTAATTTCACCAGCACCCTTGCCTTTCAAAACCGGAACACAGTAAAGCTGACATTACTGCTTAGCGGCAGAAATATGTAAGGTGGCTGTACTACTCTGGACGAACTCTTTCACAAGGAGCTCTACTGCTACTAAATAATATTAATAGACTACATCATCCACGTGTCAATGAAGAGCAGAATACCAGCAAAATGGCGAGTCACTGACAATCCACTAATCTTAACTTTTATCAGAATACCAAATGTACAAAATCTGCCATTGACACTATCGATAGGCAACTGGATGATTTACAATTAGCAGGCTTGGTTCCCTGAGCAAGGGGCTGAGTTAGCAAATTTTACGATTTGTATTGATTTAAACAACTTTTTTGCCGTAGCGCCATCTGTGAGAAACTTATAAAAGTTTCTTCACTTAGCCCTAGTACACAGAGTTATTTGTAAAGTACCATCGAGTATATAACCAGAAATAGAGACCATCCGTCCCTGGCAACTCATCAGGTAAAAGGGCCTTATATCACTTTTAAGTATCAACTCTCGTTTGCGCTGAAATCATATATTAGAAAACTGAAATAGTACAGCACCAACAACTGACCTGTGTGTACGTCTCCGTATATTCCAAAAATATTCTGTATTTATTGTAATAAAGATAGTATCTGTAACAATGGTGGCTGGTCCATTCGGTGGTGTGGGAAAAACCGCAAAACATCTAATTACAAAACAAACGGAATCACGTTTCATCGGTAATTAAATGTGTAATTTTTCAATTTTTGTTTCGTTAAACTGGTCGATTTGAAGTGAAACAATTGACGACTCCCGTCAATTGTTTCGAATTCGAGCTGGCCAATCGGAGCGCAGTAGTCACAGTAATGATTTGGCAGAATACTTTTCAAGTAAATTAAATGACATTTCTATTTCTAACATCATAATAGTATTTTATGCAATCGTTGCATAATGAAGGTTTTTAAAATCGAGTACCGCGTTTTGGCCACGAGGCTTTACCGAGTAGCCTAAATAGAAGGTACGAGATTTTAATGAATGTTTGCATACAATACTTTTTGTACGATTAAATAAAATAATGAAACACAATCAATATTTAATGTATATTTTGTTAACAATCCCTGACTCACAACTCACAGAAAAGTCAAACAAATGCTACAAAACAAAAAATCAAAGAGAAAGAATAGAAGTTGCCAAGTACAGCTTATTTTTATTTTATATACTTATTTATAAACTTACGTATGTCCATTCTTCTTTTTTCTTCTTGATGTGAGCTATACTAGAAACAGTATAGCTTCACGTTGAGGGTCATAGCAAGATGTTTGTTTAGATGTTTGTTAGCGTGTTTGTTTCCACGTTATTATTCTAAGTTTATAAAGATTTATGGCCCGGTTGTAAGACCTTTATGCCAATTTAACCAATCAGGAGGCAGTAGAGCGTTTGAGTAGTCATATTTACAATACAATACAAATATTCTTTATTGCACACTAGGACAAATACAAAAAATAAAAAGACAGGTACAACAGGCGGCCTTGTTGCTATTTAGCAATCTCTTCCAGGCAACCTTCGGGTTACAAGAAAAACTGTGAGATAATAATTAATTGAGGGCGCAACAGAATTCGTATTTAAAATACATATTGCACATACACAAGTGGCAAAAAAAAGAAAAATAATATTAAAAATAGTCTAAAACAGATATCCAAAATAATAGTAATAAATAAATAAAATACTTAAATAAATAAATAACAAAAAATATTTTAATTAGCAAAAATACGACATTCTTTTTTGAAACTCATTATAATTCTGTGTACAGAACTGTAACCGCCCAGTTACACGAGACGAAAGTTTTCGCGTGGCGACCAACCAGTTACCACGCCTTCATGTACATTAATGGCGAATCTGAATTCTATTCACGAAGCAACAACATTTAAATTCCTCGGAATAATACGACCACGCGGCGGCCGCGCAGACCAAATTGAAGCCAGCCTCGCCCGCGTGCCCGGGACGCTCATTTAAGTTAAAACGTAAAAGCTAAACAGATAGAGCGTATTTTGCCATGACAGTTAGACGTACGCAACGCGATGAAATTCGTGTCGAATAAAATTATGAAATTTTCCAATTCAGTACCGAGTACCATAAACAATAGAATTTTTATTCAGAAGTAAAAAGAGCGCATTTGTGATATAGTTTATAAAATTATAATTGACAGATTAAGTAGAAAAACAATGTTTTATGATTTTTTTACAAAACATAATAAATTTACCAAAAATAAACTTTTAAGTTTTTGATGTATTATACTATCTGACACTTTTTAGGTCTATGTCTGGTAGAGACGAAATAAGGGCCATACATTTCTGGTAACTCATCAGTGTTACATCACTTACGATATCAACTCTCGTTTGCACTGAAATATAGACAGCGCCAACAACTGACCTGTATGTACGTCTCCGTATATTCCAAAAATATTGTATATTTATTGTAATAAAGATAATATCTCTAACAATGGCGTGCTGTTCCATTCGAGGGTGTGGAGAAAAACAGCAAAACATCTAATTACAAAACGAAATTAAATATTAACTATGTAATTTTTCAATTTTCGTCCATTATAGGAAAGCTCTAGTTAACTGGTTGCTTTGAAGTGAAACAATTGACGACATCAATTGACGACCCTCGTCAATTGTTTCGAACTCGGGATAGCCAATCGGAGCGCAGTTGTCACAGTAATGATATGGCAGAATAGTTTTCAAACAAATTAAATGACATTTCGTCTCTATTTCTGGTTATTTACTCGATGTCTGGTAGTAACTTCAAACGTGCAAGCGTCCCCAGACGGCCTCCACCTGCATCTTTACATTTTTCACAGAGTTATCATCGTTTAGAGCGATCTATTTAAATATTTTTATTTTTGAACGAAAGTAAAATCGGATCAATTATTAAAAGCCATGAAGCAAAAATCATTGTTTATGATGTTAGTAATATTGTCCTACGAGGTTAGTACGATTTTTAATCATACTACCCCTCACGTTAATGTGGTTTGTTAATTTTCTTATACATTAACTTCCAGTTGCAACAGCCGTCTACGGAAACGCCGGGTCTGCTGGACGGAATGCTCTGGCAGAACATTAACCCTCTCGATGTCAAAGGTAACTAAGTTCCACATAATTTCAGATTAATGCAATTCTTCAGTTGTAAGCTCTCAAATGTGACCGTAGGCTACCGGTTTTTGTGGAACCAGGAAGCGAATATCTAAATGGTTTGGAGCCTGAGAGTTCTGGTAGTGGCAATACGTTTATTTTCCTCCTCGTCCGAATAACCTCACACTCCCCTTAAAACTACTCCCTACCTTTCTCACTCCTCCCTAACCTTTCCACTCCTCCCTACCTCCCTTCGTATTCATTTCGAATCCGAGATTATACAAATCTAGAAAACTCGAATCCCCTTCGAATGTCGCTTGTGCACTAAGTCCGAGAAAATGCTAATATCGCTTGTACATGTAGAGATAAAATGATCGCTGTGACATTTCGAACCGTCAGTTCTCGGATTTGGGGGTCGATTCAGAACCTTACGATAACTCGGTTGTTGACCGATTCTATTAGATATCGTACGATTTCTTTTCATTTTAATTCACAATAACCGAACCGAACGTCAAACTGTCGTATTCAAAACCGAACCGAAATGACGTCACACCCGTACGATTACTCGAACTTCTCGACCGGCAAAGGTTGCGAACGTTATTGAGAACACAGTTATCGAACGTCCTATTGTTTACAAAGCAATAATGTAATATGGAAATATTTTATATTTTAAATAAAGTCTGGATTTTGTTCAATTTTATTAATGTATTTTAATGCATTCCTATATTTTAGGCCTTTAAAGTCTTAAAAATGTATTATTATATATTTTCATTTTTCTTATAATCTATTTCACCGACTAATTCCGTAAACGCTGTTGGTTAACGATATCTTACCCGACTCGAACATTTAACTCTGAATGTTGCGAATAGCTCGGAAAGCGCCCTTCGATTGGAGAACGCTGAATCGGGGTCCTGATACGCATCGGGCGTAGCGAACGCTCCAGGGGTCAATGTCATTCTGTTAATAATTTTACATGTAGATTGAACCTTAATAATACACCCGATGTTGTGTCTAGGCACATGTCTGGAGTTTTAGAAAGCACCCAGCCTACTTCAGTACTGTACAATATTATTGACCGTAACAAACAGATGAGGAGTGCGAGGCTACCGGAAGCGCTGATGGAGGCGCGCACAGCGTTAAAGACGACGACTGCGTACCTGTTAACGTGAGTACCATCTCCGATGTAAGTTATTCGCTATTACAAGTTTATTTACAATCAAGCCAAATTCGACGTAGAATGTAGAATAACAAAACGTTGCTAGGCAACCAATGATGGCATAGGAAAAGAAAATTTTTTTCAATTCCCTTCATTGACTTACAAATAAATGGACGACGGGTCTAATACAAAAACCACGAAAAAAATGTCCCAAGTCAGCCTATTTAAACGTAGTGACATGTAAAGGAATATGAAAAAGATTTAAATTGTAATGTCATCGTAGTACTGTCTAATTTTGCTTGCTTCGCTGTCAGTCGAACAAACGAAGACTACAGCGTGAATGACGCTCTGTATACGATTTTAACGCCCTATAAGTTCGGACACTATTTAGCGCGGACCCGACGTCCATATAATTGTAAGTCAATGATTCCCTCGGAATAAAGTGACTCCTCTATTTCCATCGCTTCGAAACAATTTTCGGTTCAAATTCTCCCATCACCAGGCTATGCAAATGGTAAATGAATATAGTGACCGATTGGATTCACTGACCCTAACAAGATTCGCTATGTTATTATAACTACAAATTAATTACCTAATTATTTTATTTCTCTTTTAACGGTGACTTTTTTTAATTCAAAAATATTTCTTACACTTGTCATGTTATTGTAGTAAACCAAATGTTTTATTAAGTATACTTTAGTTTGTGTTATTTGTTTGATGTTAATTCAAGTGGTTTTTACATTGTCTAGTAACTAATTGCAGTAATGGTCTGATGCATTTAGTTTTAAATTCTTCCTAACATAAGTTCCTATGTTTGTAACAATGTACTCAAACGTTGGTAAATCTTAAATAAATAAATAAATGCTCATTATTAAGGCTTGCTCTGCCCACGACCAGCTCCCTTAATTTGAATTTAAATAGGTAAGTAGGTAGTTGGGTTATGTAGAAGTACAACTTACCTAGCCAATTATTATGAAGTTTACAAAATACCTATTGATACTTATGATTTAGGAATAAAAATAAATGTTTGCATCCTATCAATATTTACTGCTATATGTTAAGGTAATGGTAGATGAAAACTAAACAAAATTGTAATATTTTATTTGATATTATTTTACCGCATATTAAATCATCTAGCATCTATTTCCGATTTTGAACTTGAATTACCACCAGAACTCGAATGTTTGCAATCTCTCCCTTCAAATCAAAAAGTCAATATTGACATGACACAGTTTTACAAATAATTAATTACTGGTCATTTTTTTGTAATTTTTAGGTGATTTGAAACTTCTGTTGAATAATATTCATTATAAACATGGCTTCAAGATTTAAGTATTATCCACAATCTAGTTGAATTTCGTAGGAAAATATTGAAATTGTGGTAACTGTGAAAGAGTACTGGTAACTATGAAAACCCTAAAAATAAAATGTTTTTGTTTGTTGACCTTTATTCTACATCGAATTTGGCTAGAGTACACATACACATATCTATTATTAAATCATTTATTGTACAGAAAAAACAAAAACACATTTAGTAACGAGGAAAACACAAAAAACCAATTTATTTCTAACAGAAATTAGTATGCAGGAGACAATAACTACAATGACGGGTTTACGTCGTACGTTATGTACCCGTTCCGAAATATCTGGAAAATAAAAAGAAATCATATCGTGGTAAGAAACCTGTAATTAGTGAAAATCACACAATGAATGACCACGTAAGCCTTAAAATCTATATAGTACACACTCATAGCCCCGCACTAGGGAAACCCTGTGTCGCGGGTGCCATGGACATACACATAGAAAACCACAAATTACACCCAAACTCACGAGAGAAATTAATGTAGGCCATACAAATATTTCTCCCGGCCCGGGAATCGAACCTGGGACCTCTGCGTGGCATGGTAACCGTTCGGCCACGGAGGCGGTTAAATGTTGCTCTGATCCTAAAGTAACTAAAGCAAGTGCTTTATTCTTTAGTTACTTATTTTGAGATCCGTAACAATACAGACAATTAAGTTTTTCTAGATGGCGACACCAAGAAAACTGGTGTGCAAGCCACAAGACCATGGAGGCCATCAAATTTTATCTTCGTTACCTACTTAAGTAAGGTTGGTATTTTAATTAATGTAATATTTTTCTGTCTCACAGATGTCAAACGGCCGATTGTCAAGCACGAACGACAGCGACGACACGATGCCCAACGTCCTAGAACCTCATGTCCAAATAATCCCCCACTCGTCGCCCACGCCCCCATTAAAGCCCCTCCCTAACATTCTCCCCCACCTTCCTATCCTCACAAATCCCCTCCAAGCCATAGAGCAAGCGAGATTGCAGCAAAATTTCTTGCAGAAATTAAATGAACTGTCAAACACGCCTTTAAATTTAAGTAATTTAGATGATGAACAGCGGAACGGTCATGATAGGTGCCAGGAGAAAAAAGATGAACAAATAAAACACGACTGCGGTAGTGCTACTGAAGAAGAGCGTCTATATTTTTCGGCGAAACGCCAACACGCGATCTGGGAGCACGAGGCCAAAATGAAAATTTTAACGATGGAGTTAAGACAAAAAGAAGAAATATTTTCATTGCAAAAGCAATTGTTTTTAATCGAGTTAAGATTGAAAATGGATTTTTTGGAGAAAGCTAGCGCTAAATAAGGCTGTGTCTTGGTCGTCAAAGGGTTGCAATCGTGACATTATTGTTGTTTAAACAAAATGGCGGACAAACCATAGACAATAAAGGACTCCGTAGTCAAAGGAGTTCTGATTTCGTGGTACGAAGAAAAATGCTAAGTACAAACTATGAAGTCTTATGAATTTACAGATAAAAAATGCCCTTTCGACCTAACAGATTTTTTATCTAGTTTTAATGTGCCATCTTATTACTTAGTTACCTTAGAGCACACGGAAATGTGATTTCGCGTTAGGCATAATGTTTTACATGCCCAGTGCGTACAGAGAAAGTTAGCTGTGTTAGTCTATGGAAAGTATTTTTTGGTGCAATTTTTCGCTTTTTCTTTATTCTGCAAATGGCGGGAATAGTGCCAAAAACGGGGTTTAAAATGTGATGGAATAAATATTATTTTTGTATTCATTATTTTTTCATAGCTTATTTTGTATTTTTTTTTAAATATTGTAGTGACATAACGTGCTTAAGTTTTATTTTTACCGCCAAAACGGCCGTGTTATTCTTTTGTAGTATTCTTTTTCGTTCTTAACGGCAGCTTATGCATAATTGTTTAAAAAAACTGCCATTAGTAATTTCTTTAATTTTATTTCTTAGTACTTAGATAAGTTGCGCTTGTAGGCGAAAGTTTTATATTATAGAACGAAAATAATAGAATTTTTAAAAGTCATTTCCGTACGTACTTAGACATAATGTCTACTGCATTCTGTTTTGCCAATTTCTAAAACTGATTTTACATATTAATGTTAAGTCTAGTGGAAAATACGTGGCTTTATTACGCGTGCACAATTTGTGCAATCGTAACAGGTAGAAATGCATTGCCCAGGTGTTATGGTGCTTGCTGTGTATTTGATAATGTTGTTAGTCACCGGCGCAGCCTACAGTAACAACATAATATCAAATACACTGCTACTACAGCCTCAAGTCGCAGTCGTGAGAAAGACGCTTCCGTTCCATTAAGTTTCGCGGTAATGTAAATTGAGCCTAATATCATCGATACTAATTCTGTGCGCGTATTTCAGTAACGTATTTATCACCTCGTTTTCCAATTTTAGAAATACAATAAGGCCGAAAATCGACTAAGTCATCGACAAATCGAATTAAAAAAAAAGTAATCGAGACGCCTTGTCTTAGAGATTATCGATGTCGATAAAAAAATGCATTGGTTTTCAAAAGGACAACGCTCTTACATTTAAAATTGTAAAATGTTTTAATTTTAGAAACGTGTACAACAGGATCGACAGTTGAGAAACCTAGTCGTTATGTATTTAAATTAAGTGATCATGAAAAAAATATTTACTTACCTAAAAAAGTAACTAATATTGTATTAGGTAATGCTGAAATCAGTTGCGGACATTCTTCGTCGTGTGTTGTGACCCGTAAAATATTTTTCGGGATTTAAAGAAACTCCCAAAGTAGGTATTATTTTTTTTAATGGAGCGTTACGTTTATATCCATTGATATAGATTTCAAGTTAACGCTATTGACTGATTAATGCAGCTTGTTTATTTTTTTCAGTCACTTCGTTTAATTATACTTTTTAAGTCATTAACGTGCCAATAAATACCATTGTTGTTTAAATACATTTAAAGAATAGTTACTACATGTATAAGATAATAAATAAAATATACGTAAAAGGTAGACAATTATATGGAAATGTAAATTCGACACAGTATGATATTATTATGGTTAATAATAAATAATAAAATAAATTTAATAGAATTTAGAAAAATATCCCCAGGTATTGTAGAAAAGGGGAAGAAATAATAAATACAGTACAAAAATTATTGCAAAAAATTACCTCATGTTTGAAACAGTGTATTATAAATATCTATAGGTTTAATAATTAAAAAAAGTTTTTAGAAAACATTTTTTACACAAGAGGCGGCTTACACCTTATCGACTGTTTTTTTTTACATTGTTGACGAGAAAATAAAAATAGTTATCGATATCGGCGTTGGGCAGCTCTAGTATTTGATTATTAAATTTGAATTTTTGAAAAAAGAAAAGCAATTGTCGTTGGTTGAAACAATTTACGCGCGAAGCCGGTAAATTTGTTAAATAAGGTATTTTATAGTTGAAAGTTAATTGTTTCGAAAAAATGGTGCACGAACCTCGAAAACAAAATTTTTGTAGCAATATTTCGGCACAATTGTTAATAAAATAGCAATAATTGTGATGTATTTACCTAAGATCTCAATTTCAGGTATAAAAATTAAGTTTTACCTTAAAACCTCCTTACAGTGTTATTAAAACAAAGTTATGGTTACCGTTTGTATAAAATATATTTTTTATTTCGAACAATTATTAAGTTAATCTGATTTAATTGGATATTATTGATATTAAATAAAGAATTTATTTTCTGTTCTGTTGTTTTTCTTAAACGTGGTTAATCGGACCACGCTACATTTTTTTTATAACATCAAGTGACGGAACCTACACGTGCGCCTGATGGTAAGTTACACGCCTGTCCATTGCCACTCAGAGCTTTGAATTGCAAAGGCTATAGGGGCATTACCACTGCGCCTGTCACCCTGAGACATAAGTTGACAAGTCCCATGTGCTTGTAATTTCACCAACACCTTTACCCTTCAAAACCGGTGAACACAGTAATGCTGACATTACTGCTTGGCGGCAGAAATAGGTAAGGTGGCAGCGCTATTACGTACGAACTCTTTCACAAGGAGCTCTATGGCTACTAATAACTCATTTTTCATCCATTTACCAACTGAATAAACCGTTGTAGCCTAATTCTATGGTTTACCGCCTCTCGAGTAGAGGACATGGCTTCGAATCGGGACTCGCAGCTCGGAATTTTTCGCATTATTATTTGCGAAGTTTAATTTGAAATTTACCATGAGCTTTTCGGTGATGGAAATCATCTGATGAAAGCTACACATCGGAGAAGTTATAGTATAGCACACAAACCCGCATTTGGTTGCGGATTATCTGTCATCTCTTATCTAAAACGCGGCTATTTGACAAAATATTTTTTTTGAGATATCATAAAAAATCGTAACCCAGTTTTCAATTCAAAAAAAGGAGGTTCTCAATTCGACTGTTCTTTTTTTGTATGTATGTTACGCGATAACTCGGGTATTTGTGAACCAATTACAAAATTGTTACAAAGAGGGTACCTCCATAGTGGTCCAATTTCATTTTGAAGAAAATCATCCACCTCTAAGGGTGGCTGATCACGCATGAACATTCATTTTTATAAACAGCGCCTACGTTTTACTTAAGGAGCAATTATTTTAATGGTTGGTTTTGCTATTCTCCAATTCAAGGCGTTTTTCTCTCTCAATATACTTTGAGTGGTGAGAACCGATTTTTATTATCTCCTGTGTCAAGTCCTGTATAATATATTTCAATAAAACTTGGCAAATAGATGTAATTGCACGTTCGAGGTCGGTGTTTTTAGTACTCTGTACTGAGATTATAGAATATTAAAATTATTTAATGATACTTCAGCTATGCATCATTACGGTAGGCTCCAATAAGTCGAACACATTAACTAATTTTAACTGTTTTCGAAAGGGAATTTTGTTTTACTTTTTTTCTAATTAAAACTGATATTTGACCATTTGTCACTTGCCGCTTTTTAGTTAGTGGACTGCAGTTATGGCCTAAACCTCGCCTGGAAGGAGACCCATGCCCAGCAGTGGGACGGATAAATGGGTTAATGATGATGACCAACTGATATCGAAAAAATGAAACAACATTTAGTATGAGAAAAAAATGTATTTTCGAGTAAGTAATTAATTACACTTGATGAAATAAATTAATTTAACACAATAAATGCCTCCGTGGCCGAACGATTACCATGCCGGACTGCCACGCAGAGGTCCCAGGTTCGATTCCTGGGCCGAGAGAAATATTTGTATGGTCTACATTTCATTGGGTGTAATTTGTGGGTCGTGCTTATTATTATTAATACAGGGTCAAAAAGGCGCAAAGTTATGATGGTGTTCAAATGTCCACGTTGGAACAAGCTTATTCCAGCGGCACCATTTCTCAATCTCGAGAGCCATAACACCTAGCTTAGATCTGATTACACTAAAAAAAGTTGTGATTTAGTCGGTTGTAGTCGTAAAAAACTAGATTTAGTCGTTACGCCGTTTTGAAGTTATTAAGGTGTTTTACTGGCCACGCTGAAATAAGCTTATTCTGCACAATTTTTGAATCTCGAGCGCCACAACTCCTAGCTTAGATCTGATTGCACCCAGAAAAAGTCGTGAATTCATCGGTTCTTGTCGCAAAATATTACAATTAGTCGCTCCTTGGTTTAGAAGATATTGGATATTCAATTATTTTCGTGGGCAACACTTTTGCGCAATGAACTCATTTTACTCCGTCTTCAAAAAGATGAACTCTAAGAAAGTTTGAGTTTGTCAATAGAATGCATTGACCTAATGCCATTCATTTTGTTATTTATAAAAAAAGTTTTGCGGTTAGAGTGATTGGAAGATATACGTGCTTTGTTTTCGCTGACTTTTACTCTTTGAACTGCGAATTTGTTTATTTTTATGGATTTCCACAGCTGTATATACCGTTTATTGTATATTGTGTGGTCCGTGTTGTGAAGAAGACGGAATAAAATAAAGAGCAGTATTAATTAATTAAACACTGAAAAAAGTGGAACTCACATGACGTGACATTGACAAAACTCTTCAAGAGAAGCCAGAAACTTCAAAATAGAATAGAACAAGGACAGAACATATTTTCATTCTTCAACTCCCTTTTACAAATTTATTTAAATAATTAATTCTGATTTGGTGCATTAATGACATTTGTTACTTTTTCTGTATCCGATTTGATTGCCTGTCAGTGGCGTAGCGTAGGGGGTGTAAGTTAGTCAATTTTTTTCACTTAAAATTAGAAAATAAATTTGAGAAATCGATATCCTATTCAAATATATGTGGCAACGGCAATCAAAAATAAAAACACAATCGAGCCGGGCCTGCCCGGCATTACTTTTGTAATCGTGAAAATAAAGGGTGATTAAGAATGATTACAGATGGCGCTTTGAGCAGCGATGCAAACACGCGATTGCTTAATAGCAGCGCGTGTGTGTAAAGATGGTATCACAATGAACAAATTCTGTTGAGTTGACTATCAACTCAAGGCCATGTCTCGCTACGGGATAAATTGCGGCATTATATTGCCGCCAGACCTTGTGCATTGTGAATCCACTTTAAGGGTATACGATTAGCGACGTTAGCCCCCGGCGCGGCAAATAACGACGCTACGCCACTGTTGCCCGTAAGCGCGATTGTCAACTGCACCCGGATAGTATTCATTTCGAATCCGAGATTATACAAATCTGCTCTCCACTAACTAAAACGCCAAGTGACAAATGGTCAAATATCCATTTTAAATAGCAAAAAATGTAGCACAAAATTCTATTTTAAAAACAGTGGGTGATAGACGTACGAGGTTAAAAATCGCGGTTTTAAAGTTTGCGTTCCTACTCAGCTCGACGTCGGCAACACACGACAGATTAGCTTATAATGTTCCGCGATGTCGTCCACGGAGGAGGTCTTGTGTTATTTGGGAATAATATCATATCACATTTTGATAACTAAAAAAGAAGACAAAATCGGCGAGTGTGGGTGAAGAACTGGCTTACGAAAAGAGAGCGTTTATCACATGTAAATTTAGTAAGTGAGTTACGTGAAGAAAGGGAAGACTCGTAATTATTTAAGAATGCCCGTTCGAGTCGTTGTACGAAGAACTCATGCACTTATTTACACCTATAATAGCTTAACAAGATACCTGCATGAGAGAAGCTATTTCATTTGAAACAAAATGGCGGCTCGTGAATCGCGACGCTGTCAGACATGCGAGCCGAAGCGGGATACGAGCAAGATTTCAAACATGTTTGACGCGTACTTAGGGTGACACATGAGTGAAAAAGGTCGTCGAGCCACAAGTACGCGTATTTACTCGTACGTCTATCACCCACTTAACGATGCGTTTTTTATGATATCTCAAAAAAATATTTTGTCACTTAGCCTTAAGTTAGCGGAAGGCAGAAATCTAGAAAACTTGGACCTACCTCGGATGTCGCTTCAGCGATTTCAGCTTCACGATCGGGTAGCCCATCCGAGTCTCGAAATCAGATGTGTTGTTAAATAAAGTATTGTTACGATTAGAAATGTCAAAAGTTTCCGACCGGCCAGTTGTGAATCGCAATTATGCGCCTTGACTCGGAAGAGAAGCAGTTTCCGATCGGGAGAGGCAATCAAAATCAAGCTGCTGCACTAAGTCCAATTATATCCGAGAAAATGGTCCCTATGACATTTCGATCTGGCATTTCTCGGATTCAGAACTGGGAGGCTACTATCGCTCTCCATCCGATATCCCTCTGAAACATTAACTGTCAAGTAATACTCGACCAAATTAACTTCATTCGCATCATGCTTTTCTTAATTTGGTCGAATATTACTTATTTGACAGTACAATTGTTTCGGTTGGAGAACCCGGTACGACTAGAGATGGGAAAACCGGCTTATTTTTTTAAACGTTTAAACGTTATGCTTTTTTTAAAAAAAGCGTGCCTTTTTAAACGGTTTTTCACTTAAATGCTTTTTAGTTTAAGCGCATAGACTTTTATGTTAAAAAGCCTGCAACGTTGTGTCGATAGCGAAAGAGTAGACCACTAAAGGTCATACGATAAGTAAGTTTTTTGTAAAAAAACGAGTTATATTTTTATTTATGACATAACATTATTATATTAACATTTTCTTCATTGGCGTTTAAGAACATTCAAAAACATAAGTTGTTTAACTATTGTAGTTGTTAACCGTTGAAATGGAAAAACTGCTTATTTTTGGAACGTTAAAACGTACGTTTAAAAAAGCGTG